GTCTCAGTCTATGAGAAGAGTAAGATTCCCCATTAGGAGAATCTGAGTTTCCCCTTGGTGATTTAAAGGAAGTAGAAGAAACAGTCCACTGGTATTTTCTTCGGAGCTTCGGAACACTGGGATTTCTAAGTATAGGATAGTTTGTTTGTTTTTTTTTCCCCCAGTGTCCCTTTTTCTCACAATATCAACAAGTTTTCTTGTCGAGGAGATTGGGCTTAGAATTGTGTTCTAAAGGCTGATGACATTTAAGGTGTTGTACTTATTGGATTTGAAGAGCTAAAAGTCGGACTATACATTTCTTTTGCTTTTTAGGGTCCTTTCCAAATGTTCAGCTAAATGCATAACTTCCCATTCCAATTTCTGCTAATCAGGTCTCTAATTTCAGGCTTCAATCTATTTATATATTGGGCAGGAAAGCTGCTGTTGTGTCTGTGGTAGTTTTTATACTTGAATACTGTCTAAAAGTTTCTTCTGTTCTGTCCCTGCAATTCCCCACAGTTTCATCTTTTTTGTTTGCAGGACTGGTTAAATAGTCTAGTCAATTCTTTAGGGAAGATCTCAGAGATGGCTGTTAAAAGACTGCTCAGTTTCCCTGGGCCTTTTAAGTCCTTCCCTACTTGCATGGGAGCTGGGGTCTTTAAAGATCTTTCTCAGGGCTGTTCCAGCTGGCGTTTGGCCTGTCCATGAGCATCAGTTGGCCACACAAACATGTGAACTAGTTGATAGGGATCAGGTAAGGCTGGGATCATAGGTCCCAACAAAATTTTAAATTCCTCAGTTGTGTTGGTGGAGTGGATGGAGAAAGGGGGTAAGGGGTAGAAGGAAGCCATCCTCGCCTTTAAGGAGCATTCTGGTCATACTTCCTCCAAGACCAATTGGGTCAATGAAAAATCTTTCACTGGGGGGAGGGATATAAAAGTCGGGAAAGATAATTTATTGGATACTTTGGGATTTTTTTTTATGATTGGTTTGGCTATAGGGTTGCTATGAGTTGGAATCAACTTGACAGCAGTCAGTCTGGGTTTGGTTTGGGTTTTGGCTTTGGCTTCAATTGACTGAATCTTAAGGGGCATTAAACTGCTATAAACCAGGCTCCCATGTCCTAACTGGCACATTCCAAAGTCTGGGTGTGTTATCTCTTGAGAGGTCTGACTTGTGAACAGGTGGTCTTTGAGTCCACTGGGACCCCAGTGTCCATGTCTCAATCTACAGGTGGCCTCATCCCAGCCACGAGGAATCAGTTTTGTCTGGGAAATCCCCCCATTCCCAGTGTGAATCATTCCTGAAATACAATATTGCTTATGACATATTTCAGTGTAGAGTATAAAGAAATTACTGATGCCATCCTTAACTCTCTGGGACTCCTGCTCTCCACAGAGAGGCATTTTCTCTCTCATTATGATATAATTTCCTCCACTACCTGTATTTCAGACTCAAAAACATATTTTACCTATTTGTGTACCTTTCTCTTTTCCCACAAATGTATTGACACCACAAGGACAAAGGTGTGCTTTTTCATACCTGTACACCAAGACTGATTAGTTTTCAGCCTAACTGATTAGAGAATAGAGCAAGGGTCAGCATGTTGTCGTGTTTAGGTGCTGTCAAATCGGTTCTGACTCATAGCAACCCTGTGTAGAACAGAACAAAACATTGCTCGGTCCTACGCCATCCTCACGCTAGCAGGTATGTTTGAGCGCACTGTTGCAGCCACCGTGTCAGTCCATCTCATTCAGGGTCTTCCTCTTTTCTGCTAACCTTCGACTTTACCAAGCATGATGGCCTTCTCCAGGGCTTGGGTCAGCGTACTACGACCCATAGTGCCATACCCAGCCTTCCACAGGACTCATAAATTAAGTTCTGCTGGCAGATCTGAGTAGTTACAACAGAGACTTTAAGGACTGCAAAGCTTTAAGTTTTTACTCTTTGGCCCCTTTGCAGAAAAAGTTTGCCAGCCTCTAGCCTGGAGCACCTGGCACACGGAGATACTCTAAAATTAGAATTACAGCAAGAGTATGGTTTCCGAGGCAGATGGTATTGGTTTGAATAATTTTATCATCTCTGGTAGCTTACTGAAATTAACGTTCTTGAATAGGAACTGGGGTTAGTAATTAAACATATCTACCGTACAGAATTTGCTGAGGAGTATCTGAATTAATTTATGTAAAACACATAAAATGATGCCTGATATGTAAATAAGTTTGAAAAAGAAAATGGTGGCAGATGGGCAGATGGTATGAAGTAGGCCCGCGTGGTGGGAGCAGCTGACCCTGGTGTTCTCCTAATTCATAGCCGACATCAGACAATATGACTGACTGTGAAGGAAGAAGACAAATATTAAGACCACTCTGTCATCGTGTCTGCAAATGGACTGAAAAAGAAAAGTACCCAAACAAAAGTCACTGTTCTGGCACAGGTGACTGCTGCTTTTTGCGCCCATTTCATTCTTCTGGCTTTGTAGTTAAGAATGATTTAGATAATCACAGAATTGTGTTTACTTCCTGCCCCACCTCCTTGAGCCCTTGGCCCAAACACCTGAGACAACCCAAATTTTGTAAGTTCATTCTCTCACCCTCTAGTGAGACTCCCCATTGTCCCTCATGGCATGTGTTCTCCACCATTACAATGAGTCAGTAACCTAACTGTTTGACTACAGATGTATTGCTGGTGATCTTTGGCTACAGGGCATTGATACAAGCAATATAAGTTTTTATTATTATGGATGAATAATAAGTCATTTCGGTGGGAAATCATTTTTCTCTTCAAAACGGTTCTTTACTCATTCGTAATTATAAGCATATATTGCTTATATCAGTGCCTTCTAGCCAAAGATCATCAGCAGTATATCCAAGTAAGAGAGAAGCCCTTGGGTGGTATAACACTTAACACGCTCAAGGGCTAACCCAAAAGTTGGAGGTTTGAGTCCACCCAGAGGTGCCTCAAAAAATCTACTTCCAAAAAATCAGTCATTGAAAACTTTATGGAACACAGTTATACTCTGACACACATGGGGCCGCCATGCTTGGTTACCTTATAGTTATATTAAAACATTTTCACCTTTGTCTTGGGTCCTAGAAGAAATGAAAATCAAAGAAGTAGTTTTCTTGGCTGTAGTCTTTACAGAAGTAGATCACCAGGACTTACTTCCACAGTGTTGCTGGGTGAGCTTGAACCACGAACCTTCAGGTTAGACGAGTGCAGACTGTTTGCGCCATCCAGGGACCTTAGAACCAGATAGGCAATTATAATATATATTTTTGGATTGCCACTGTGATTGAATTGAAAAGATAGACAAATTGAAGGAAAATTGATTTATTCTCAAGGTTCACAGTTGTCGGTTTCCTTCAATTTTCTTTATATTCATCAGCTTCAGTAAAGCTATAAAATATTAGTTATGTGGTATCAGCCGTATTACTGAGTGGGCTTCCTTGACACCATATGTCACCAAATGTGAAATACACCGTCTATTTCATACAAAAGTGAAAATTAGTCAAACTCACAGCAGTCTATGACACAATGCTATGGTCTCATGGAGCGTAAGGTGAAGTCCAATTTCCAGAGGGGTGAAAAGGGGCCCTGGTGGTGCTGTGGTTAAGAGCTCAGCTGCTAACCAAGAAAGGTCGACAGTTCGAATCCACCAGCTGCTCCATGGAAATGCTATCAGGCAGTTCTACTCTGTCCGTCCTATAGGGTCACTGTGAGTTGGAATCAACTCGATGGCAACGAGTTTGTTTTTTGGGAAGGTGAAAACACACATATCTTCCAGTTGATGCAATATAGTAGGTTACCTATTTAACCATCATGGGTTTTCCAGGTTTATTTTCCCCATCTTCTGCTTTTTTTTTTTTTGGAGCCCTGGTGATGCAGTGGTTAAGCATTCAGCTGCTAATGAAAAGGTGAGCAGTTTGAATCCACCAGCCGTTCCTTGGAAATCCTATGAGACAGCTCTGTTGTGACCTGTAGGGTCATTCTGAGTTGGAATAGACTTGGCGGCAATGGCTTTTTTTTTGCTTTTAAATTTTTTAATCCCTTTTAATTATTTTCGAATCATATTGTTATCTTTAACCTTAAGGAGTTGGCTGTCTCTGCCTGTTACCCAACTCCAGTAGAAGTAGCAGTCTCTTCTTGGTGGGTGATATAGGTGGGATTTTTTTCATTAAATTTCTTGAATTGTATTTTTTGTTTTCACAATCTATAATTTTTTTCACATTTGGTTGCTCTTTATTTCATGGTGTGGTGTTCTCCCTTACTGCTGTAAAGGTATTAACTAGGTAGGATTTTTTTCTCCCTATTAAAATCACCTTTTTCTCCGTTAGGATCAGACCCTTCAGTGACTCTCTTTTTGGTATCACTTACTTGTAATTCTGGAGCTCAGTTATTGATTTGAGAGGCTCTGATGGCCTGGTGAATTCTGCAGGAACCAGGTGTTCCTCATACCTGACAGGTGTTGCCAATCCCAGGGCCCTGGCCTCCCTCTCTGCCCACAGTGTCCTCATCATCCTGGGAGGAGGCTTGTCTCTGCTTCTGCATGCCAGGCCCCATGACTCTGCTGCCACCACATAGGACTTGTTGAAATTGAGCAGCATTGAAAGTGTACCCTAAATGTTTGCAACACCCAAATATTCTGGTTCCAGTTCTTTGTATCTATAAGAAAACAATATCTTAACAAACTGAATGTCTGTTTTCAGAATGATGATTTTGTCAGTCTTAACCCTGCCCTAGAGTCTGCCCAGTATCACTAAAAATAATGATTTTTAATGATATGAAAATAAGTATTTATCAGTCGTTCTTGTCGTACGTCATATTTTAAAAGCACTTACCGTCACCAAGTATATTGTATTGTATTGCATTAATGATTAGCATCTCCCACAAGAATGCCAGTTTTCTGTGGTTCAGAATCCTGTGAATAAGTGCAGTACCCCAGGCCGGCAGCCTCTCCCATCCTCCTGCACACACCGGGGAGATAGTACCTTACTGAAACAATATGTGGGCTCTTTTAGGACTCAGTGGTCTTTGAGGATGTGGCTGTGAACTTCAGCCGGGCAGAATGGGCTTTGCTGAGTGCTTCTCAGAGGAATCTCTACAAAGATGTGATGCTGGAAACCTTCTGGAACTTGGCCTCAGTAGGTAAGGATGGCATCATTCCTTCACTTGTTTTTTGTGGAACAGATATATCTCCCACGTGTCCTTTTTTGGGCAGAAGAATGGGAGTGTGTTAGAGGAAAGACAGACCCAGTCCAAGACCTCTTGGAACTTGAGATCAGAGAGCTTTTCCATGAAAATGAATTTTTTGCATTAAGCTGACTTTTTATTTCTCTTGGGTTACAATTGCAAGGCTCCCTAAGTTTCTAAGTTTAGACATGGTCTCCTATGGCAAACAGAGAGAAGCTTTGTGATTTTCACCCCTGTGAGAGTTATACTCTGACTAATCCACATTTAACATGGTAATTTTGCACGGTTGAACCTATTCTTCTCCATCTTCAGCCACCGTGAAGTCCAAAGTATCAGTCCATCTCATGGAAATACTTATTGCCCTTCATAGCCCTCCCTGATCATGAACTTTGTTCCATTAACAGGGTGTCAGCCACACATTCTCATGTGGTCCCCTGTCATGGTTTGAATTATGTCCCCCAAAAAATATGTGTATCAATTTGGCTAGGCCATGATTCCTGGTACTGTGTGATTTTTCTGTATGTTGTAAACCTGCCTCTATGATGTTAATGAGGGAGGATGGATGGAAGTTGTGTTAGTAAGGCAGGACCTGATCTACAAGACTGGGTTGTGTCCTGAGGCAATCTCTTGAGATATAAAAGACAGAAGTGAGCAGAGAGATAGGGGGACCTCATACCATCAAGAAAGCAGTGCTGCGAGCAGAGTGCATCCTTTGGACCGGGGTCCCTGTGCCGAGAAGCTCCTAATCTGCAGGAACACTGATGAGAAGGCCGAGAGAGAGAAAGCCTTCCCCTGGAGCTGACACCTTGAATTTGGACTTTTAGCCTACTTTACTGTGAGGAAATAAACTTCTCTTCTTTAAAACCATCCACTTGTGGTATTTCTGTTATAGCAGCACTAGATGACTAAGACGTCCCCCAATGGGGATTTGGGCACAGAGGAGAGAGGACTCATCTAGGGCATCTGTACTTCTGAGCGCCAGAAAGGCAAGAACCTTAGGGATGAAGAGGATTTTTATTAACAGGATTATATTTGGAAATATCAATTAGGAAATTAGTCTTTGAGAAGGATGAAGTTAATTTTTTTTTTTTTTTTTTAATATTTTATTGTACTTCAGGTGAAGGCTTACAGAACAGATAGTTTCTCATGTAACAGTAACACACATGCTGTTTTATGACATTGG